TAACACTGAGTAAGGTCTCTGGAACTTCTGCAGTGGTGGATGAGGAGGGATTCCAATTGGTGGGAAAGAAAGGGAAGGCTGTGAAAATGAATGGTCAAGTGCAGAGTGGTGGTGTGCGTATTCCTGATTCAGCAGTGAGTGCTAGAGTGCCTTTGAATGAGAAGAGTTACAATCTGGTTATTCCTATATCTCCCAAGAAGAAGGGAGGTAGAAAGAAGAAAACATGAAGTTGCTTGTGTGGAATCTTAGGGGATTCAATTCCTCTGAGAAGCATAGGTATGTGAATAAGAAAGTTGCACAATTAGGAGTAGATTTTTTTGCTATACTTGAAACTAGAGTCCTACAAGGTAATGCAGACGGAATAGTAAGTAGACAGTTTAGTGGTTGGCGGCATATTAATAATTACAAATACTCTTATAATGGAAGGATTTGGATTTTTTGGAAGCCTGCTTTGTCGGTGGTTGAGCTGGGTATGGGTCAGCATTTCATTCAAGTGAGAGTTCAGTCTGGGAATGAGTCATGTGTGGTTACTGTGGTATATGGTCCAAACAAAACAGCTGAGCGATTTGAGCTGTATGAAGAGTTGAGAAGGTTTATAGTAGTACAGGAGCCTGGTATATTTCTTGGAGACTTTAATGCTATCACAGGAGCACAAGAAGCTTCAAATAGTCCCCCTCAGAGTCAAAGTATGGATGATTTTGTGAGCTGGATTGCAGATATGAGGTTAATAGATCATAAAGCTATTGGTAGTTGGTACACATGGTGGAATAAACAAACAGTCAATCCTATTGCTAGAAGGATAGATCGAATTTTGGTAAATGACAAGTGGTTGGAGGTCCTCCGAGACAGTCTAGTTAAATTGTTGGCCCCAGGGGTTTCAGACCATTGTGGTTTGTTTGTCCACACAGACCCTCTGATCACTTCTTTACCGAAACCATTCAAGTTCTTCACATTCTGGAGGCAGCATCCTCAGTATCACAAGTTGCTGGAAGAAGCGTGGCAAACAGAAATTAGAGGTGTCCCTTACTTTCAATTGTATCACAAGTTGAAGGTTTTAAAGATGAAGCTTAAGGGTTTAAATCGATCTCAGTTCTCTGAGATTTCTGCAAGAGTCAAAGAAGCTGAAACTAAACTCGAGGCTATGCAGCAGGCTATTCTTGAAGATCCAACTGCCCCTTCTAGTGCAGTATTGGATCAGGAAGGGGTTTGTAGGGAACTGCAGGCAGCTGAAGAGCAATTATACAGGCAGAAATCAAGAGTTCGTAGAATCACAGAGGGAGACTCCAATGCCAAGTACTTTCATAGTATGGTTAAAGTTAGAAATCACAAGCCGACTATACAAAAATTGGTTACAGAGGAAGGGGATGTGCTTACTGAGGTGAAGGCAATGGGGCAATTAGCTGTTGATTTTTACAAAGGCCTGTTAGGAGAAGCTGATCCATTAGTACAGGACACTCCTATGTCTTATTTTGAGGATATCTTGTGTCACAAGCTTGGAGAGGATGATGCTCAGTTACTAACAACCTCGGTTACAAGGGAGGAGATTAGAATAGTTTTCAAGACTATGGGGAATGACAAGGCTCCAAGCCCAGATGGGTATACAGCTGAGTTCTTCAAAATGGACTGGGATGTAGTTGGAAAAGCAGTTGAAGACATTGTCCTGGCTTTTTTTCAATCTGGAATTATGCCTAGGCAGGTAAACTCTACAATTTTAGCTCTGATACCTAAACTTGAAGTGGTGGATAAAATGCAGAACTTTAGGCCAATATCATGTTGTAATGTTGTCTATAAGGGTATCTCGAAACTGTTAGCAAATAGGCTATCCTCAGTGTTGCCAAAACTTATTGGGGTAAGTCAATCTGCTTTTGTTAGAGGTAGGCTTATTAGTGACAATATTCTTATGGCAACAGAGCTGGTTAAAGATTATCATAAGGTCTCCATCTCATCTAGATGTGTTTTGAAGATAGACTTGATGAAGGCATTTGACTCTGTGGATTGGAAATTTTTGTTAAAAGTTATGGGGGCTATGAATATTCCTGTGAGGTTTATCAAGTTAATTGACGCTTGTATCACAACCCCTATGCTAAGTGTAGCATTCAATGGAGGTCTTTGTGGGTATTTCCCAACTGGCAAAGGGTTAAGACAAGGAGATCCTTTGTCTCCCTACTTATTTACCATTGCCATGGAAGTTTTCTCATGCATGTTAGCTAGGGATGTATCTCTAAACCTGATTCCATATCACCCAAGATGTAAAAGCCTGGAGATCACTCACCTCTGTTTCGCAGATGACCTACTGGTTCTCTCAAATGGATCAGTTAGGGCAGTTGCTGGGGTCAAAAGGTTATTGGATAAGTTCTATCATGTGTCTGGTCTGAGATGCAACTTGGCCAAGTGTCAGTTACCAGACCGCGACTTGAAGACCTCCATCAAATGTGCACTAACGTTACTTGCATGGATGGCACGAGAAGAGTTGATCGTATGGTGTACCGATATCCAAACAGAGAAAGTGGGTCATTGTGGCATGAGGAATATCTCATAACCACTCAGGATGAGGTAGATGCCATGCTCGAATTCATGAGGTCCAACAATCTTTCCAAAGCCGAGATGTTCGTTTACACCGAGCCGGTCGTAGGCGTTGGAGGTCATTCTGGACACGGTCAAACATCTGGTATCCATGGTGGAGGTGAATTATATGGCGATCATCCCTACCAAAGTTACCATGATCCTCATTCATATTTTCAGTACCAAGAGCAAGGTGAAGGTCATCATCAATCATATGAAGAAGAAGTTCAACCGGACCGGCCCAACCAACCTCAGTACAACTTCCACTCAGGCAGCGGTAGTTTTCACAACTACCATTATGGAGCTGATGAAGGTGCCTTTCATGAGCTGGATCAGATGGAGGATGTCATGCCAGCACCAGTCAGTGACCCCTCCGATGAAGAAGGAGAGAACAACGTTAGTGCAGACAGCTCCGACCCTCTTGAAGGTGCTGATGATTCCAGACCAGAGTCAGACTCAGCTGATGATGATGAGGGGGCTCGTGACCGTGTACCAGTCACCTACTACAATCACATTCCAGACGACAATTGGATGGTCGACAGCGACATGGAGCCGCCAGAGGTCCCAATATGGGGTCCACTCACTGGGTTTATGAAGGGCCAACAATTTGGCTCGAAGAAGTATGTGCGTCACGCCATTGAGACAGAAGCAATGACTCGGCATTTTGAATGGCTCACAACTTATTCCAACACTAAAAGGCTCTTAGTCAGATGCCGTAATCATCACGAGGGGTGCCATGTTAGGATTCGGGCCATCAACAGCAAGAGACACGGTTGCTGGGTCATATCCCGTGCGGTGAACACACACACATGTGTGTCATCCATAACTTCCCAAAGCCATCGACAGTTGAAATCCAGGGTGGTTGCTGCGGCTATCAAGCATCTAATTGAGCAAGAGCCAGACCTAAAGGAGAAAGTCATAATCGCTGACATTGCAAGTCGTTATGGTTATATGATTAACTATAAGAAGGTGTGGCATGGAAAGCAGAAAGCTCTGGTCGCCGTCTTTGGTGATTGGGAAGAATCATATGCATTCCTTCCCAGGTTAATTTTGGCATTGGGGGCGTCTAACCCTGGCACTGTTTTCTCCCCTCGATACCAAGAGGAAGAGATACAACCCCCAGAGCCAGGTAACAAGCGCCATTTCAAGCCATGTATTGATGGTTTTGGCTTCTGTGTCCCTGTCATCCAAGTGGATGGAACATTTCTTACCGGCAAGTACATGGGCACTCTCCTGATTGCCAGTGGGGCGGATGCAAACAGACAAGTCTTTCCTTTAGCCTTCGCCATCGTTGAGGGAGAGAATGCTGATAGCTATGGATGGTTTTTCCGGCAAATTCAGATCCATTGTACTAGGAGGACGAACCTTACAATAATCTCTGATCGGCACGCCGGCATTAGAGCTGCCATCTTAGGTTTAGATCCAGCCTGGAAGTGGTCCCAAAGGTGGTGCATACGACACTTCAAGAGCAACTGGAACCATCATTTCAAGCGGAAGAAGCTTGCTGATAATTTGTGGTGGATTGGTAAGTTTGTAATTAGCCGTATAATTTAGTTCCAATTACAATATCTTAGTACGTTTGGCGAGTGGTGCTCTGGTTAGACTCTTTCTAAAGTGATGCATGCCTAAGGAAATGGGGTTTTAAGCGATTATCATGATCCTCCCATTTCCTGGGAAAATCAGGTTTTAAGCGATCTTCGGATCCCCCCTTTTTCTGTCAAACAGGCTGTGTTTCTAAGGAGATGTATACCTCTCCTAAGAGTCTAACGAGAGTAACTCCGGGCTGTTCGAATTTGTACTAAATTGCCGAAAATTGACTAACATACTACTTTTCTGTGTCTTCCTCAGCGGTTGCCTACCAAGAAAAAAATTTTCTGGAGAAGATGCAGAAGTTGCGCGAGCTATGCCCTGAAGGGGCACAGTGGTGCACTGGACATGACCTATCCATGTGGACCGGGCGGTAATCATGGTAACCTCCTTGGCGGGGAGATGGTGGGTAGATCGGGCGATACTCGTAGTATGCTCCATGGCGGGGATCGTTGTATGAGATCGGGGTGGGACTCGGAGGGGTTTGATGGTAGGTCGACCGGGGATCGTAGTACAAGCCTTGGTGGGGAGTTTGGCTGGAACTCGGGCCGCCAACTTGGGGTGAACTCGGGCCGCCAACTTAAGGAGAACTCGAGCCGCCTACTTGGGGAGAACTCGGGCCGCCGCCTTAGGGAACAACCAATGGAGGCGGTACTTTCCACCCGGGATATGGTGTCACTTCGGGCTCGATGGGCCTTTCCCGGACCCTCTTGCTTGGCTTCCTCTCGTATGGTGGTGGGGGATCGGATACATCAACTTGTACCGGAGGTGGCGGGGGTGCGGGCATGGGGGGATATCTACGATGATCCCTCCCCTGAGCTCTGATACAGCCAAGAAGACTGTTTGCCATCCTCCTGATGAAGCCGACATCTTCATTTCCCAGCTCCATTCTCCTGGTGGTAATGTCTTTAATCCGCTCAATCCCGTCAGTCTAAATCACAAAACAATAAGTTAGGAAACAATTTAGGAACCAAAACAATACACATAATTATGTAGTGTGTAATATACTTACTAATGCACCATCGGCAGCACCCTCCGCAGTCAAGTAACGGACCGATGTTTGCCGATATCGATCCAAGTATGGGTCATGATACCCCATTCGACCCACTGCTGATGGAGTGACAATATCTTGACTCTGTCGGTTCGCCCACAGGGTGATGAATTTCTCCAGCTTCAAAGGCCAATCTCGAGTACCTTGCCTCCCATCTCGACCATGGAAGGCCTTTTGACTTTCGGGGACCTCCAACGGAATGCATTGCTCCCGACCAAACTGACGGAGGCATCGATCCGGCAAGTGCCACTCCACGGTCCCAAAACAAATGGGAGGGACCCTCGTGCACCATTGGCCGATATGCTCGGGGAATTGCTGGAGATGCCAATGAACGATGTTCTCCGGGTATGGATCGAAGATGATCTACACGCGCAAAATGGGTAAATTAAGATAGTAAGAATTGGAAAAATACATGTCTTCCATGGCAAAAAGGTATAAATGGATTGGAGTATAGAAGTTACCTCTCCTTCCCAAAGTTGCTCAAACCTCTGCCGATACTCATCCAACTTGTGTTGGGCAAGGTTATCACAAGTTGAATGTCCGAGCCACCTTATTAATAAAACAATAATCGAAATTACAATAAGCTAAAACACAAGGGAAAATCAACCAAGAAAAAACATGATGGGTATGAGAAGTTTACCTTGTTCCATAAGCTTCCCCTCTTAGGGGATGATCGATTGGCCAATCCCGGTCGGGACGTTGTACCGGTGCAAGCCATGGCATATGCTCCCAAGCCCAAAATTGGACGATGAACATAGCACCGCCGACCTCCCTCACAGCTTTTAGAGAGGCATTGCACAAGTTGTGGTAGATATTAGCTAGGCAAGCAGATGCCCAACTATACTCCCCCATCTCCTCCCAACTACCGAGGATGATCCTAAGCCATCCACAACTAAGGAGATTGCTTGCTTTTTTGGAGAAGAACACTCCTCCGATCATGCCAATGAGATAGACCCGAGCATATCTCTCGATCTCATCCTCCGGACTTTCCTCGGTTAGGGGACGACTCTCGTAATGCTCTCTAAAGTACCTCCTCAACCAAGTAATTGACACTTGGTGTTTCCTCATTGGTGGCATGCGATCGGTCGCATCAACTTGCCCCTTCACTGGTACTTTTACTCCCAAAACACTATAGATGAAATGAACCCAACCGGTCATACCGTCGACATCGTCGGGGGCATGATCACTGACGCACACCGGTTTGCCGTCGATGGGGAGATGGGTTAGGATGGCGACATCCTTTAGTGTGATGGTGGCCTCTCCTTCTCTCAAGTTGAAGCAATGGGTCTCCTTTGTCCATCTCGCAACTAGGGCGGTGATGAGTTGGCGATCAACTTTGATGCCGTTAAAATGCCTAATCGAGTCCAATCGTGCCCTTTTGAGAAAGGGCAAGATGGCTGGGTGGAATGGGAGCACATTGGTCGTACCCCTGTAGCGGATTATTGTTTGTGCCTCCTAGGGAAAATTTACACGTTAATTATTATATATTAGTAAGGGTTTAATCCTTATAACTAAATTACTTAAATTATATTATTTAACTTCAAGCAGAATTTTATTATCATAAAAAGACATTTCATATAATTAACATAATAACATTATAAATTAATAATAATTTAAAGAGATACATACATATTATCATAAAACGAACATCCTAAATTAATTAACATAATAACATTCTAAATGAATAATGATTTAAAGAGATACATACTAATTATCGTAAAATAAACATACTAAATTAACTAAATTAAATGACATTGTTAATGAATCAATATTTTAAAGAGAAACATACATATTCAATTGTTTGAAATTAATAAAATTCCATTTGTACACATAAAAATAAATCGTAAGGATTGTTTGGTAAATTATTTAATCGTTTTGGTTGTTTTAAATAATTTAATCGAATACAAAGCAACACTCGTTAGACTCTTAGAAGAGGTATACATCTTCTTAGAAACGCAGTCTTGTTGACAGAAAAAGGGGGGATCCGAGGATCTCTTAATACCCGATTTTCCCAGGGAATGGGAGGATAGGATAATCGCTTAAAACCCCATTTCCTTAGACATGCATCTCTTTATATAGAGTCGAAGTAAGTGGCGCTATGTATTCGATTAAATTATTGAAAACAACCAACATGATTAAAATTCAACATTAATTTATTTTATATTCCACTAAATACATTAACTAAATAAAAGAAGGACAAATGGTAAAGAATTGTATGTACCGGGTGAGCGTTCCAAACATCCCTTGACCGATGGTTGGGTTGGTCGTACAAGTCGGTTGGATCCAACGGTCCTTGCTCGAGATAATACCGTTGGTTGTAAATATCAACGTCCTCCGCAGCCTACGAGAAAATAACAACGATGTTAGTACATAGATTAATTAAAAAGCAAGATAACAACAACAAAAATTAAACCCGAATAATGAGTACGTACCGCTTGAAATTCATCAACAAAAACTCCTTCTCCTTGCCACCAATCGGCCATTTTTTCGGCGCAATTCGGACAGAGCTTCGGCTCGGCTCGGCGGGCTTTGAGGAAAAAACCTAAGAAATGTTTTCTGATGGCAGATCGGACTTTGCCGCAACCAACAGACCACTATTTCCTAGGCTTTTGGGAGGGGGAGGGTTTAGAGAGATAAAACTTAGAGAGAGAAGGAAGAATGGGTTGTGGTGTGCAAAAATGAGAGGGGAAGGGGGGCTATTTATAGGATTCAGATCGCACACTCCAGGGGCGATCAGGTAATTTTACCCTCGCGCGGATCGCACTCTTCTGATGCGATTTGCGCGTCCCTAGGCGCGGATCGCTTTCTCCAGTTGCGATTTGTGCTTCTTGGACGCGGATTGCTTCGCTGGCATGCGATCTGCAATCCTCGGCGCGGATCGCTCCGCTGGCACGCAATCAGCCGCCCGATCGTCCCTCCATCCAACGATCTAAAAGATCGTTTCGCGTCCTCCCCGAATCGCACTGACGGAATGCGATTTCTATTATGGATTGCACCCCTCTGATGCGATTTACTTGTAGATCGCATCTGTTTGGTGCGTTTTATATTTAAAACGCATCTTAGGGGTGCGTTCCATAAAATAAGGTGCTAGTTTTGTAATTGTTTTTACATGGGTGCTATTTTTGTAATTTTTTTTTAAAGGTGCTATTATTGGAAAAATCCCTGATATAATTGCGAGAAGACAATGTTATCTACTAGTATATAATCATAATCATTAAAAAATACTATACTAACGAACCAAAAATAAATATAAGTGATTATAAGGTCATATATAAGTGACAAAAATATGAAAGTTATCTACCTAAGCTCATTCTTATTTGTAGAATCTATAATATCACGTATCATTTAAATATTTATATCAATACAATATTCTCCTTAGATAAGTAGAATTATTCATTAAGATATCTATGATTAGTATGTTCTCTATCAAGGAGTTGAAACACTCTCTATATATTAAATGTAGCACGAAAATTAAGTCTTACTCCTAGTACGAATGAGAAAAGCCGCCAATCACTCAAAATCATACCAACACAATCTAAACTCCCTGAATTGGGAATGACGCCAATAGTTGAAATGGCACCATGAGATGGTCGGAAGCCAATGACTCCACAAAATGATGCTGGAATTCTTATATCACCGACTGTATCAATACCTTAAGGATGAGAAAACATGAATGCATGCTATAAGAGACCAGAGTAAATGGAGTTTATATAATAAAGTGGTGGATGAATGATTCACCAATCATTTACCCTTGAAAAGCAACAAAACAGAAGAGGAACATTATTTACCGAGAGCAAAGTCTACAATGCCATATGCAACAGCCACTGATGAACCACTTGAGGAACCTCCATGAACGAATTCCGGAAATTGAGGGTTATCAAGGGTTACATTGTAAGCATTCTCACCAGCTATCCTGTTTTAGAAGAAAAGATCTACATTTTTAACATTTTGTATATTTTAAAAATAAGCAATAGTTTTTTTTTATTCTTCGCATGCTTGATTAACAACAAACAATGGGTCACCAAAAGGAGTGACCAAGAGAAGATCTTTACCCAAATCCCAATTCACCCGAAACAGTTTTGCCAACACAAGTAGCCCTTCTTTTCAAAAGATCGGCGACAATCACAGCCATCTTCTTCGCTGGCTTGTGTGTTGCTTTCCAACTTGGACTCCCAAACCACTGATATGATTTTTCACATCAATTCTGCCAATCCTCCACAGAGAACAATGTCCATAAGAATGACAACAACTAGCAAGCAGAAAACCAATTACGTAGATGAACTACAAGATAGTTATAACATTCAAGGGTTGTGACGTTGGCATCAATCAATCTAGAAGTTAACGTAAACAACCCAAATGAAAGTCAACAGAAAACGCACGAGTCACTGACAGCAAATGTGAGACCAGATGGAGGCTTTAGAGGAAGTTGTGAACATGGAAAAACCACGAATTTTTCAAGAAATGCTCCAAAATCCTTGTGAACCACATCAAAAGAAGTGTTGTTATGGATCTTAGCAGCTTGATCAATTAATTCTAGAGGATCAGACTTGGGCCCATTTATTTTAGGGTTCTCGATTGTCGGTTTCGACATTAACAGACGCTTTATTGGAGGTGTCTTCGATGTCTAAGGTTGAGGCTGAATCTCGGATGAAAGATGTGATCCGAAGTTGTTCAATCGGAGAATTGGAGGGCTTTGAAAGAGGAAAGAGAAGATCCGAGGAAGAAGAAGACTGAGGAAGTAGAGAGAAATTCGGGAATTGAAGTTTATTCTATTTTTTACATTTGTGTGGGTTAAGTCCGTTTCTTTCGGAATTACTTTGGTATTCTTTCATGGAAAATACCAAAAAGGTATTAAAAACTTAATAGCTAATTCCAATAGAAAGTTCAAACTATTCAAAAAGAGTCATTTCTGTACTAAATTATTCAATATGACAAATCTGGCATGAACTATTTTTTTGTAATGTTGACCGGCGTTGACCATTAGCATTTCACACAAAATCCAGTAAACTTCTATGTGCTTTGTGCCATATTTGTCAATATGGAATAGTTTAGAACACAAATGTCACGAAAAGCATATTAATTGTGCCAGATTTGTCATATTGTATAGTTTAGTATACAAATTTCACTTTTTGTATAGTTTGGACTTCTGAGTGAAATTAGTCCAAACTTAAAGAAAAAAGTAAAATTAAAATTGTTTGAAGGCTTACGTTACTTTAAATCCCTTCTTCTATGTAACACTACAAGACAATGATGGTAATTTGATAAAGATATATAATATCATAGGCTAAATTGCAAAATTCGTCACTAGATTTATTAAAAATGTTTACATTTGATCAATAGAAATATTTAATTCCATTTGTAGTCACTAAAATAAAATTAGTTCAACAGTTCAAGTTTGGTCACTCTCCGTCCAACTCCATTAACTTTGTCTGATGTGACAGTCAATCCTCATAATTGACCGTTAAATAAGTAGTGACGTGAAAGTTAAAAAAAATAAACTTAATCTTTTACAATTTCCAACACATTTTTACAATGTTGTCAGAATCGAACTTAAGCATGACCTGGTAATGTAAATGGCGCAAGCTTTAGTGGTCCAACCAGAATTGAACCGTTAAAAAAGCGTTCGAGAATCGGTACATTGAAGACAATAATATCATAAGTAGAAGACATATAAGGTAGTAATTTAAAATTTTAATAATTAAAATGTTATTTACTTTGGTACCACTTAGTAATTTTACACAATATATATAGCAACTAAAAACAAACCCTATCCATCTAAGTCGCAGCGCCATTCCCCTCGCCTCTCTCTCTCTCTCTCTCTCTCTCTCACACAGTTAGCAAGCGGCAGCTCCGTTCCCCCCCCCCCCCCCCCGGCTCTATATTAGCAACTACACCCGACTCGTTGGCTGAATAAGCGCTTCTTGTATCATTTATATTGACCAAGTTATCATAATCGTTAGTGTTTTCATTCTCGGTAGTGTTATATTGTTGCAAATTATTATTTGAAAAATACTTTTTTACTATCGTGTGCAATCTTAATCATGAGATGTTGATATGTTATAGGTTAATTTGTCAACCAAACAAAAATAATAAATTTTAAGTTTTTGACTAAATTAGTCACATGTTTATATTAAAATTTCCAACATTTAGTTCGTAGTTAATATAAAATCAAGTCTTCTACAGAGATATATAAAGTCTTGATGAAGGATTTTTTTTTTCAAGATTGTGAATCAAAACACTTCCAGTCATTACCTCACACAATTTAAATAAATCATTCTCGATGCTTGATCTAACACTCAA